AGACAAACGATAATACACTTTATTATTGCATCTACCACGATGAATAACAACAACCTTTTCCTCGACATTGACATGCTTTTTCTTTCTTAACAGATTTGACTGACTTCTTAATAATGCCCGATTAGTGTTATAATTACGCACCTGTCGCAAATTGTAATTTCATGATCACTAGCCTGCAAACAGGTTCCCGGCGCAGGCTAACGATGACGGAACAGACTGTAATCATACAGGCAAAGTTCTGCTTGAGCAGCTATTCCAAAGTTTTGTGTCCGTATTGAGCAAATGACAGTTAAATAAGTCTTTCATCGTCTATTGTTATAGCATTAAACTCTGAAAGCAACGTCAAAATGTTGCAAATTTTTGTAGAATAGGAAAATATATAATGGTAAAACCGTCTCCCCCCTTGCAGTCTTCCTTTTTCAGCGAGACTCCAAACAAAGGATTTTTCAATTTTTTTTATCTCGGATATACAACCACATGAAGACAGCAAAATTACTGATCTAAGTAAATAGTTTTTTTTTTTTTTTTTTTTTTTTNGCTGCCTTGAGTACGGAGATTCAAAAATATACATGTACTCGACAAATTCTTGAAAGATCAAAAGTTCCACATTACTTTTTAAAGAAAGGAAATGGTTAGGGAAACTCTGGGTTTAAGTAATTTTTTTTCTTTTTTTATTTTTTTTTTTCGTTTTTGTCGATTAGCAACAAAAGTGCATGGTTACACAATTTGCATTTTCAATCATTCTTACTTTCTGACCCACTAGATAAACAACAAATACTTGCTCCACTCTTGAAACTTTAGTCGGGGCAAATAACCCACGGGCGGTTGATGGGCACTGCTGAAGATATGACATGACGCATTTCACAAAACACTGCAGTTGCTTGTACAGTTTTAGACTGTTATTACAATGCACGGCAGAACAAAGCTCGACTTTATTTTTCACAGGCGTCAAGAGCCCATCTTGCAGAGTATATCACAACCTTTACCTTTGCTAACCACTAGATCATGTATTGCAATCTATATTTATATGTTGTTTGA